TTAAATTTTAAACAAGAAAATTAAATTGATGCAGAAGCGAATTCTTAAAACACGATTGAAATAATATGTGGTGAAATTTTAACTTGCTCAACAAATAATTAGAATATTATTTTCACCAAGCAATTATAAGAAATGTAAAAATGGAAAACATAAATAAAGTGTTGTAAGGGAAAAATCACAATAGAAGATTTATAGTGATTCTGTCACTTGACCTACATCCCCTCACCGGAGTCCTCAACTCCTAGAATTTCACTACTAAATAGTAATTCTCCTTTGGCCGCCACAGCAAGGCGGAGAAGCTTTTATAAATCTCACTTTCACCTTCCCAGCTTGGCGGAGTACTAAGCGCTATGTCACCCTCCTGGTGACGGTAGTGAACCTTATTGTTTTTTACCCTCCTGGAGAAGGTAGAGTACCTTAGACGACACGGACCTTCAAGGTTCTTCCCCTTAGAAAGCTTCTCACAAGATCTTCTTGGGCCATAGGAGGACCAACGTACAACAAGCTAGGAGCAACCATGTGATCTCCCTCACAATCCTTCTCCCTCAAAAAATCACCTTCTCCCTCCTCTCACAAACCAAAAATCTTCTCAAGAGCTCTCTCTCAAGAAATCCCCTGCTAGTCACGTTCCACTCTCACACATTATTTTTCAAAAGTCAGAAGTTTAGATATTTAAATCAGGCTCAAAGAAATCCTAAATTTTTAGTATAGCCACTTTTGTTCGTACAATATGATCCAAGATCATATAATACGATCAGTTCAAAATTGCCTTCGTCCTGGTACAGAGGAGTACGAACGTGAAATTTCTCTATATAACATCGTATAGTACGATTAAACATAGTCTAGTACGATGTGTTATTTTCCTTCTATTTATACAGGATGAATGCTGGGACGATGAAAACTCATCTTTGTTCATCTTCTGGCACGATCGACTTCGTACCGTATGATATGTTAAAATCAAGGGATCATCCGATACGATGTTCGGGATGACCAAACTTAGCCTCGGTATATCGTACTGTATGAACATGTCATATTGTATGATTACCAATCAGTAATTAATCCTTGATTTGATTGACTAATCACGGGGTTAATTTAAGTAAGTATTCAAAAATTTGCTTAAATTAATGTAGTGGCTAGGGTTTTTAATTAGAAATACATTGTACAGTATGATTTGTTCACAGATAGCCGTTGGGCCAGGGTAGATCGTACAGTACGAATAAAATCTGTACAATATAATTGAATGAAAAAAAAGTCTTCATTTTTTAAAAAATCTCTCCCCCTATATGGTGCATGATTGCTCAGATTTGCATACACTTTCTAGCTAGACTCAAGAAAAGAAAAAATAAATAAAAAAGAATATTATAGGGTTATTGACTCCAAATCCTACTCTACCCAGTCTTGAGACTTCTTATTATCTTGAGTAATTTGTGATCTCCCTGAAATGTTAGTACTCACAGACAAGAGCAAAAATTAAATATATTCAATGAATAATAATGCAATCGACATTATTTTTCATCATCAAAATCTCAGACAAGGGGTCATGGACTGCAACACTTACTCACCCATCAACAAAAACCGACGGGGAGAGACCAGCCGAGATCAAAGCAAAAACAAAATGAAGAAGAAACCAGGAAAGGAGAAATCAAAACTTCCTAGAGAAGCGAAAAGCTACCAGCAACCATGAAACAGTCAGCAGAGAACGGAACGCCGAATGGGACATAAAAGGACATAAAAGGGGGAGAGGTTTTTTAAAGGATTGGTTCTTTCATCAACATATAATATTCTAGTAGAGCACCCGACAATTCATTACTTTTTGAGTAATCTAAGTTTTTCTCTTTCATTTTCTATTTGATTAAGGACATAAAAGGTAGTAAAACTCCATGAGGAGCTAGATTTTCTAATTTTATGTAAACTATAATTGAACATAAATCTAGATATTTCTTATTCATTTGGGATGGTCTCGATTAGGTAGGAATATCTTTTTCATTGAATTCTTCAATATAATAAAGAGCAACATTATGGATTTTCTTTCCAAAAACTAATAGAGTTGTCTCTACAGATTTCTTTTATAATATCTTCATGTATGATTGTGAAATATGTACAATATCCGAGCCATTTTTAATTGTTGATAGATTTTTTGAATATTAATTTCCAGTTTAAAAACATTAATATGAAAAATTTTATTTTGAATTTTATTAAGACAATTGATAAAGATTTCTTTTGATCTATAATAAAGTTAATTTAATAAGTTTATAAAATCCTTTAGAGATGATTTCAACATTATTTGTATAGATAGGCACAATTTCAAGTACAAATGGAGCTTTTAAAATAACGTGCTAATATAAATTTTAACAAGAAGAAAGGAAATGAAATAGAATATTCCTCTTTACAAACTGCAGTAGTGGTTAATTTGTATTCTTTTGTATTTTCTGGGTGGATGTAAGATGCTGAGTAGTTTTTTTCAAAATATTTTCTAGGAATTATTCCTTTTTGTATGTACTTCATATCTACTCCACTTTCTACAACAGCAGTTAGATTTAGGATTACTTGAGATTTATTAATAATTCGATGAATGGTTATAAACCATTTGTGCATGATAGCTTTCTATAATAAACATGAAATAGGGTTTTCTTGATTATTTTTATCTTTAAAATAATGGGCCTTAAATTGTGGTGAAATAAGTTGCTAAGAGAGAAGGTGCGGGATTCTAGTGAGAGAAAGTTGATTTTCAAAAAATCTTTTGGAGGTAGGAGAAATATCGACCGATGACAGTGGAGGATCGCCAGCTTAATGCCGGCAATTGTCCTAAAGGAGATCATCGATCATCTGCTAAAATGCAAAAACGATTTTTGAATAACAAATCTCCCCCTGTGTTCGGAGATTCAAATTCAGGATTTCTATCTAAAACTGTAAGCAATGGAGCAAGGTTCACATCCAATTATGCCAAACCGTTGATGATTAATGAAGGCGGCCTGATGAATGCCAAACCTTTACTGGTGATTGGGAAAGGAGAGGGGGTGGTAGTTTTAGAAGATGTTATAAAGAGTCTGAAAGTTCTCAAATTTCAGAATATCACCACGTCTATAGTGGCAGATTCAATGAAAAACATTTTGAAGAATGATGAAAACCAGGAGAATTTGAATAAAGACATTAATGTTAATATTAATAACAATTTTGTGAATGGGAAGCCTATAGAAGTTGAAGACATGAACAAGGTTCAGCTGTGTATCGACTGAAAGAGGACCTGTTGTTCCGGAAGTTACTGAAGCTAGAGATAATTCTATTAAAGATCAAACTGGAAATGTTTTACTTAATGCTTGGCAAAAGAAATCTCATAAAAGAATTTCGGATTCAGATTAAAGATGGGATGACAGTCCAGTTGTATAAGGAGAAGGTGTCGGAGAATACCAAAGCATTGCATAATGTGCTAATGGTTAAAGTTTTTGGGGAGAACATACCATAGTTCATTGTCAATGCTGAACTTAAAAGGCAATGGTCTCAAATTGGTAAGTTTAATTTAACTTGGCTTTGTAAAGGGTGGAGTTTGTGTTTATTTGAGAATGAAGAAGCATTGGAATCGATTCTTGTTAACAGACCCTGGTATGTGAAGGGGGACATTATTTGTGTGGATAAGTGGAGTGAATCATTCTCTCCAAATTCTTTGAAAGGCTTGACAGCTCCTATTTGGTTAAGAAGGCTAAATTTGCCTCTTCACTGTTGGGATCCTATATATGTTTGTAGGATTGCCTCAAAGGTTGGGAAACCTTATTTATTAGATGAAAATATGTTTCAATAGGGAAGACGTGAATTTTCTAGAATCTGCGTACACATCCACCTAGAAGAAGCTCTTCCACTTGGACTTTGGGTTGAAGGGAAATCAAGAATTTTTTTTCAAAAAATTGAATATGAAAGGGTTCCCAATATTTGTTTCGGTTGTGGAAAGATTGGTCATGACCAAAGCAAATGTCCTGAGAAGATTACTGGTATGACACCTAAAGGTTCAGATGAGAGTGACTGCTATGTAAAGGATCCATGTGTAATACCGATTAAAGAAAAATTGTCTGAAGCTGCAACAGGTGAAGGTAGTGGTTATGGACCCTGGATTCATGTTAGCTATGGAAGGAAAAATTTAAATGGGAATGGTTTTCATGGAAAGAAGATTGGTATAGACAGAAATTCAAGCAAAAACAATTTTAGTCTTTGGACAAGGAAGGAATTCAGGGAGAGGAATGGTGATGGCTCTGGAATAGTTGAAGGAAAAAGGGTGGTAGAACCTGTTGATAAGGAGGTTTTAAAACAAGATACGAATAATTCTCTGAAGATAAAAGATTCTGGAGTTAGTCCGAAAGTTATTTCAGAGGTTAACAAATTCTTTGTTCTTAGTGATTTGGTGGAGGAAGAGGAAATGCAAACTGTTGATAATGGAAAAGTTGGTACCACTTTTAGGAAAGATATATGTGAGACAGAAGTTATTAAACTAGTTTCAATGATAAAGGTGGATAAAGGAGGCTGCTCTTTTAAGGCCTTTGATGTGAATGAGATGGAAGATATCAAAGAAGACAGTTCTTCTAACATCAAGTTTAAGCTAGCCATGGAACTACGAAGTCTTGGTCCTATAAAGCTGTTGCCGAGAGGAAGAAAATTGGAGAATGAGGTGAAGTAGAAGATGGGGAGCTCTTCCCCTTTCGTTCCATAATGGGTTCAATTTTGTTTTAGAATTGTAGAGGACCAAGGAAAAAACAAGCTTCTCTATATTTAAAGGAGGTGGTAAAAGACAACAAGGTGTTTTTTGTGGGATTTCTGGAAACCAAAGTCTCAAATTTTAGCAAATCTAAAATTGATATCCTAATTGGTAATGAATGGGATTTTTTTTTCATGTACCTGCTATAGGTCTGTCTGGGGGTATAGTGATACTGTGGAAGTTCAAAATAGCTTCCTTTACTTGTTTTTTTTTTTTTCTTAAAAATCAAGTTGTTATAGGGGATCTTGAAATCATGAAGATGGGGAGGTGGAGAGTAGCCACGGTTTATGGTGGCAAAGAGGCAGTTCACAGAAGGCTACTTTGGGAGAAGTTGGATGAATTTGGTTCTAACAGTCATCCTTTAGTAGTTGGGGGTGATTTCAATTGTATTTTTGCTAAGGAAGACAAGAGAGGGGGAAGACCTTTTCGATTTTCTCAAGGAGCAAGAGAGATGAGTTCATTCGTGGAAAGGAGTAATCTTCATGAAGTGAGTGTAAGTGGACCAAGATTCACTTGGTGCAATAACAAAGATGGTAATGTTAAAATATTGGAGAGGTTGGATAGATGCTATGTTAACCCGTTGGCATTGAAGAACAATCGGTTGGTGTTAAGGCATTTATCAAGGGTTGCATCAGATCATTGCCCAATCTTATTGAACTTCTTGGAAGGAAACGTTTTCTCTGATAAGATCATAAGGTTTAAGGAAGTGTGGACTTAATATCCAGCTTTAATCGGTCTGGTTAAAGCAGCTTGGGGCAAGAAGACTAATGGGGATTATGCTGAAGCATTGAAGTACAAATTCCGAAGGTCCCTAAAAGCTCTATTCTACTGGAGTAAAGCAAAATTCAAAGAGATTGATTAGCAAAGAGAATTTCTGAAATCAAAAATTTTGGAATTGCAATTTAAAGAATCTGATGTTGGATGGCTGACAAAAGAGGAAATCTTTATCCTTCGTTCATATATTGGAGAGCTGAATACTATTTAGGCAAGGCTAAACACATGGTGGAAGTAAAGAGCGAAGGTCAGGTGGATGAAGGAAGTAGACACTAACTCTTGTTTCTTTCATTCTTTTTTTCAGCTAGAAAGAATTCAAATTGTATTTATAAAATTAAAGATGAGGCTGGATCGGTTACTAAAGATCAGAATCAGATTTTTGAAATTTTTCTAAAATTTTTTAATGGAAAATGGAAAAAAAGGAAAGGTTCTCTTAATGGGTGGCCTTTTTCTAACAATTCTATTGATGAGAAGGATAGGGAATGGTTAACCAAAGTGCTGTCTTTGGAGGACTTGGAGATGGTAATGTTGCAAACAACTGATAGCATAGCTCCTAGAAATGATGGGGTTTCATACTCTTTCATGAAATCATATTGGAACATTATTAAGAAATATTGTTGGTATGCTGCAAACCAATTCTTTAGGTTGGGAAAGATGAATGTTGAATGGAAAGAGACCATTCTAGTTCTCATTCCAAAGGTTTTAGAGCCGGCAATACCTAACCATTATAGACCTATTAGATTGTGCAGGTCTATTTACAAGGTGATGGCAAGAATTCTATTGAACATAATGAAATTGATGATTCATAAATTGGTTTTTATGGAGCAAGCTGCATTTATCAATGGGAGATCTTTGGGTGATCATATTCTAGTGGCACAGGAGGCTTTTTCAAAAGTTCAGGAGTTCTAGATCATTAAAAGGTTTGGTTTCATTTAAAGTGAACTTGGAACAAGCCTATGACAACATGAGTTGGAATACTCTAAAAAATGTTTTAGAATACTTTGGGTTTCTTGAGAAATTCTTTATGTGGATCATGGAATATGTAGAATTCTCGAAATTTTCCTTACTCATTAATGGTATGTTCTCTACCTGGATTTATGCGGAGAGTGGTTTTCGACAAGGGTGTCCTCTTTCACCCTATTTGTTCATTTTATGTTCTCAGTTGCTTACCAATCGGTTTAAGCAAAATGAAGTAGAAATGGGAATCAAAGTTGGTAGGAATTTGCCAAAGGTTTCCCATCTTTTATATGCAGACGACATAATCAACTTCTCCCATGCTAATGTTAAAGAATTAAGAGAAGTCAGAGGAGCAATAACAAATTTCTATAGCTGGACAGGTTAGAAGATCAATTTGGAAAAATCAATGATGTTGTTTGGTAAGCATGTAAAGAGAAAGAAGAGAAAATCTGTTGAAAAAATCATGGGCTTTAAAGTGGTAAAAGAGTATATGTACCTTGGAGTTAGAATGGCTTTGAGGAGGTTAAGAGCTGCAGACTTTCACTTCATTACATAGAAGTCAATGAAGCTCACGGTGGTATGGGGTAGCAAACAACTTTCTTTGGTAGGGAAAATGTTGCTAATCAAAATAGTTATGCTCTCTATTCCAAACTTCTATTGTACTTATTCATTGGTCCCAAAAAGCATTCTTAAAGAGTTAGAAAATCATTGCCATGAGTTCATTTGGAATAAACAAAATGGGAGATTGGGTTTGCATTTTGTTAATTGGAATAAACTATGTAAACCGATGAAACTCGGAGGTAGAGGAATTCGTTCATGTGTAGATATTGTGGATGCTTTAAGAGCAAATTAGCTTGGAAAGTAATCCAAGAGAAGGAATCTTTGCTGTATCAAATTTTAAACCCAAAATATGGACAATGGCTGGAGGATTCAGCAAATGGTTATGGATCATCTACAACATGTAAAATCTTATCAAGTGGTAAGAATGCATTAAAATTAGTAGTAAGATGGGAAGTTGTAAATGGCTGTTCTATCAGCATCCTTCAGGACATTTGGATATTGGATAGAAAATTGAATTTATGGCCTACATTTGTATCAAATCAAGATGTAGGGGATGAAACAGTGGATTGTTTGATCTCAAATGGAGAATGGAATGTGCTGCAACTCAAACAGCTATTTGGAGATGAGCTTATAAAGATCATCATGTTTATAGAAATTCATATGGACCAAGACACCGATTAGTTGGAGCTAATTCAACAAAATTCAGGATGTACTATCTTATCTCTGGTCTATAGAAATTCAATTATTGAGGAGCAGGAATGCTTGTTCTGGCGATGCTTGAAGAGGATTAAATTAAGATCCCGTGTTGAAGTCTTTTGGTGGATGTTGTTTAATAATGCAATACCTACATATGATTTCTTGTACCAGAGAAGACTCCAAGAGAATTATAGCTGTCCAAGAGGTTGTGGCCAACCAGAAAACTTTAATCATATCACAGTGAATTGTGAGAAGATGAAGGAAGCCATTAGCTATTTGAACAAATGTGGAGTTTAGTTCTAGTTTTTTTATTCATTTCAATAATGTTGGAAATGGATGGGAGAATGTCATAATACATAAGGATTCATGGTGAACATTTATTGCAATGTTGTATATCTCACATGGAAATCCAGGAATAAACTAATACATGGTGACAAAGAGGATTGTTCTATGTTCTTAGCTTCATATGTAGTAAGTTTGGCTTCCATATCCTTTATTGCAGAAGGAAAAATGGGACACTAGGGTACGAATCAGTCTTCTAGACTGTCAGAATGTTGGTACCCTCCTCCCAATTGGATAAAGATTAATGTTGATGCATTCTTATTAAAATCATATAAAGCTGGTATTGGTGGCGTTGTTCGAGACAGTAAAAGAAGATTTCTTTTGGCTTACGGTCACTCATGTATTCATTGGGACATTGCAAGTCTTGACCTATTCTCGGTTCAGTTTATAAGGGTGATTAAGAGAGATTGAATGCAAGATTATCAAGGTGTAATTATAGAGGGTGACAATTATAATGTGATCAAGTATTTGCAATACTTGGAAGGCAAATGGAAAGATGAATCTTTACAGTTGAAAGATCATATATTCGTCTTATTTAATTGGGTTAATAGGAGTTGTAATAAGCTAGCAAACCTTTGTGCTAGCTATGCCATTTGTAGTGATTTTTGTTGGGAAGATTTCTCTTCTAATAAGATTACTTCCTTGCTCAACAATTTTTTAAAGGAGGAATCAAGTGGTGCTATTAGTTTGTAATTAGGATGCCTTGATTAATAATATTTTAGCCTTGTGCTTTCTTCAAAAAAAAGAAAAAAATTGTGGTGGAATAGGATCAACAGATTTTTCTAATTTTAGATTGGCAACTCTACTTTCAAGATCACTCTGATCTTCCTTAAGAGTATTGGTTTCATTATTATAGCGTATTATTTTTTCTTAAGGTGAAAAATTGTCATTTGACATGATTGATATTCTAATGTTTAATTTATTCTATTATATACTCCCAGGAGTTATTGGGTAACCAACATGAGTGAATATCAATTTTTCTTCTATTAGAAGCCTAATTATTTTATCAAGAGTTTTAGGATAAAAATCATGAGCAAGAATCTTGATAATCTGGTCATTTTGATCACCAATTAGGGTGAATAATCTGAACCTTTTTACAATTGATTTAAAATAGTTATTTTGTTCACAACTATTATAGCATGGTGTTGAATTGGATTCAGAGTTAATTAGAAATAGAAATAATATAGTTTGAATAATCCAAACTATTAGAATTAGAAGTTAAAATAATTTTCATAGGATTTTTATTTAATCCTCATCAAGATTTAAACAATTTAACATTTTTCTAGTAGTACATCGATTAGAGTAATGACCATATTTTCCACATCGATAGCATTTGATGTATCTATATTTATCTTTATGATGGTGTTTTTCTTTACAATATTTTTTATTTTCTTGATCATCTTGATGGCTAGTACGATCATGAGAATGACGTCCTCTATATGTTTTGTGATTTATAAATTTAGCGTTAGTGACACCCCTGGCCATCATGAAATCATTATTAGAGATTTTTTTTTTGGATTTATGTTTTGAGGTGGAAGGTTTTTTTTTTTTTTTTGAAAGGAAATGCAACTTGCATTAAAACGAAAACACCTAATTACAAACTACTCAAAGATAGGAAACCTATCTCATTCCTCCTTTAACAAAGAGACAAAAGGAGGAGGAATATTATTGTCACTAATTACATCCCAAATAAATTCACTAGACAAAGCTAAGTTAGCACAAAAATCCGCTAAATTATTACAATTACAATTAGAACAGTGAAATAAAACCTTATCAAACCCTTTTAAGAATAAAAAATCACCCACTTCTTGGCTCCCCACCTTCCAGGTCGATTTGCAAAAAGAATCTTGAAGATACTTGATAACATTATGATTATCTCCTTCAATAATTATGGCCTTCGCCTCCAACATCCATGTTTCTACCACCTTTTTTAATGATTTAGTTGCTAACAATTCAACTTGTGCAATATCCCAATATATACAACCAAAACCAAATGCCAACAAAAATCTTCTTTTATTGTCTCTAACCACTCCACGGACACCTTCTTTATTACATCTCAACAAAGAAGCATCAATGTTAATCTTGATCCATTCGGGGTGGGGGTGGGGGGGTGCCAATAATTACAAAATAGTTGTGAATGCTGACTAACACAGCAGTTTTTTGAGACAAGTTTATTATAAGGAGAAGAAGCATCAAAGCTGATAACTTTTGAAGCAATAAACACAATAATATCTTCCCTACCTCCATGCTTCACTTTATTTCTACTATTCCACAAAAAATATAGCACTGTACAATACAACTTAGCAATAAAAGAATTAGTATCTACTAACCTCTCTAAAGCCAAAATGCAATCTTGAAAAGAGATGAAAACAAGAACTTGAAACCCCCATACATTCAAATAATTCATCACTTGGATTAATTTTGAACAATCATCTACTATATGTTCCGCATTTCCAATGGCATCACATCCTTTTGGACATAAATTAGTGTCCAGCAATCTTCTATGCATTAGGAAATCAGTAGATGGAATAACATTTTTGTATAAATGCCATAAAAAGAGCTCCAAATGAGAATTCAGCTTTAGTTTCCTTGTCCATTACCAATAGGTGCCTTCCATATCATCTTCATACACAGTCTCTGAAATTAAAGCAGATATTATCTTTCCAGAAAATTTAAATTTTAGCTCCATGTGGTTGTGTATTAGATATGGAGATATTTGAATCTTAGACATAATATCTAGAAGTTCTTCTCCAAAATACTGCTCCAACAGGTCTATATCCCATCTTCCATTCATAAAAAATGCATCCAGGTCAATGAATCATCATCCAATTCAGCAATATAAGTAGGTCACATATATATGCTTTTATCAAGAATCTATAGATCTCTAAGAACATTAATAGATGAATCTGAAGAGATTTCCCACCTCACCACTTTTCTAAGAGATTTCTAACCATTCAGAATTACTTTCTAGGAAATAGAGTTGCTACTTTTTGCCTCATGGTTCCACCAATTAAAACCATACTTAGCAATCAAATTCCTATTAAGAAGTGTCTCCTAGTTGTCAATATGTTTCCAAGTAAATTTAGCTCTTAAAGGACCCATCTTTGATACAGTTGAATATAACCCACATTCACCCTTATTCTTCAACTAGCATAGAACATCCCAAGCAACATAATGAAGACCATGGATATCATTATGTTTATTCCAAATATAAGTTCTACATATTTTACAAGAGACTCAAATGAACCAAAGTATATGTAGATAGAAATAATGGAAGAGCAAGAAAAATATATTTAACTAACATCTTTCTTCTAGCTAGAGAAATAAACCTATTTCTCCAAGCATTTAGTTTG